ATTTTTTTCCCCTTTAAACTTGCTATTTGTTTTTTTCCTGTGTTTATAGTTTTTGGTTTTACTGCACGTAAGCGTTTATCCTAAGCAATCTCAAATCCTTTCAGAAAGTAGGTGGATTTAAAAATTATGTGAAATAGCTTGATATCATTTTGGTCGTGGGCTCCGAAATCATGCCCAGGTACTGACATATTCGTTCCAGTGCTTGAAGTGACCTTACCAATAGACATCATGCTGTCTCTCGTGTAAGTGGAGTGAATGTACCGGAAGTATTTGGATGAAAATGGAAACATGTTGAAACCACTTCTTTTGCTTTAATCCCCCCCCCAAAAAAAAAATCTAAGACAGCATGACCCCGTCCTGTGTGCATTAGATGACCCAGACAACCTTCCACAGGAGGCCCACACACGGGAGGGCCTTTGGTTTAGTCCTGGAACTGCTGCCAGCCAATGATGGGCCTTACCTCCTTTGGCAATTCTGCTTCTCTGACTCACTTCCTGACCCAGACTTCTGTTCAGAAAGGAATCCCTTATTCCTGCTTGCTTCCCAACAGGCTTCTCTGCCTGCTCAACTGTTGAAAGATGTAGGGCTTTGTGATTTGTTGCATCTCAGGGCACCTCTGAGGTGGTTCTTCTGACCACCCTGCTTGCAGCTGCCCTGCTTCCTCTCCCCTCCAGCCGCTGTTCTGGTGTCCTGCTGTCATCCCCGGCGTACACAGCCAGACAAGCAATCTCTTTGCAGTGAGCATCCATCCTTTCAGTGTCGGTAGGCTGGCTGCATTCCAGGACCTGGGTAGACTGATACAAGAGAGCAAGCTTGGGAACCGAATGTTGGCAGCGGGATGGCATCACCACAGGGCCCTTCACTAGTGACCATCAAGGAAGGGTGATAGGAGCATGTCCCTCCATGGATGACCTTTTAATTCTCAGTGTCTGTAAGTGCTTTGCCATCAGGGAACCTTGTGTGAGTGTCCTCTAAAGGCACATATTTTCTTCAAAAGTCTGTTGTTTGCAGACTCAGAATGTTCTTACTAGCCCTACAAGCCTGTGGCTCCTGGCAACCTGGACCCACACCCTAGATATTCCAAAAACAGTGATTATAGAACTAAGAGAGCAAAGAAGCTGATACCGACGAAGCAGACAGTTTGAGGCACGTGTTAAGCTTCAGAGTAAGGAGTGTGGAGAACAGAGAAGAAAGATGGTAACTGAAGCTTTCCTAGCCTGTCTGTCAGGATGAACTGAGAGTGATGATGTTCCTTTCTTTACAAAACTGGCACGAGGAAAATTTTAGAGGGGAAACGGGAAGCTACGTCACAGATCCTGGGCTGGAGTAGGAGTTCAGAGCCTGTAATCCCAGGACTTCCTGCAAGTGAGAGGCAGAGATGGCATTTTGGTGGTGCTTGTTTGCAGAAGACAGGAATGAGGAACAGAACAGGGAATGGTGAGATACATGTCGTTGACGTTTGTCTTTTTTTTTTTTTTTTTTTTTTGCGGTACGCGGGCCTCTCACTGCCATGGCCTCTCCCGTTGCGGAGCACAGGCTCCGGACGCACGGGCCCAGCGGCCATGGCTCACGGGCCCAGCCGCTCCACGGCATGTGGGATCTTCCCGGACCGGGGCACGAACCCGTGTTCCCTGCATCGGCCGGCGGACTCTCAACCACTGCGCCACCAGGGAAGCCCCGTTTATCATTTTGTGGCTATTGTAGGACATGAACCACCTTTCTGTGTTTGAGAAATTCGCTTCCTAAAGGTTGGAAAACCCCATTTGCTAGCCCTCTTTGCAGCTAGAGTTTGGGTATGTGACCTAGGGTAGGTTCCTTAGATGCATCATGCCACCTTTTGAACAGAAAACCGGAGTCACAAAGAAGCAGAAGCAGGAGAGACACCATTTGGTGATGGTGGTAGCAATAGCGCCAGCATCCACTTTCTGTGTTCCATGGGGGTGGCAGGAGGGTCTTGGTGGACCGAGTTGATGCTCCTGCCTGCTCTGAGCCCAGTGTTCTTGACATGTTTGTCAGTTCCCTCGTATCCTTTGAAAACAGTTCGTGTCGCTTGCAAAGTGAGGCTTCAGGTGAGGTGACACCAGCACTCCTCACCTCACATACACAACAGTTTGAATCAAATTCTGATTTACAACATGGGGTTCTTGATGTGCACATCCCGGCTCTGAGGTCCAGCCTGGTCTGTTTGAAGGGAAAGAGAGAGGGGTGAAGCAGAAGCCTGGGTGGACACGGGGACACGTGGTCTGGTCGGAGAACAAGAAAGTGGCAGGACTACTCAGGGTCCAACCCAGGGAGGGCTTGAGAAAGTTGGGGGCGTGGGCGTGGCTGGGGGGCAAGTTCCTGACTGTCATTTTCGGGAGGTTGGGGGTGAGGGATTACCCTCAGGAAGCCCACATTGGTTGAATGGGCCAACCCTGGGTTAATAGAGAAAAGCAGACCACTTCTCTAGATGAAGAAAGAAATGTATTAAAATCCTTCACCCTAGTGGGGAAAGGCAAAACTCTATAAAAAGAACATATCCTCTTCTTCCCCCGACTTAAGGGATTAAAATTGGTGACTGGGGTTTAGCACATTAAAGCAGAAGCCATGCAGTTTTCCACTGAGAGAATCTTCCCAACTCCCTTTCAATCCAGAGCTGCCTGTGTGCACACATTGGGACCTAAACAATCTAATAGTGCCAGATGACTCCCAGGGAGGCAAATTAATTAGACATTTCTCCAAAGGTATTATATTCCAGTTGGGGTTAAAAGTCAGGGAAGTTCTCCAGCATAGTAGGGAGCAAAGGAGGCAAGGTTTTGTTGAATTGGGAACTGGCTCAAATTATGGCACAGCCTGCAGGCTGAGCTACATTTGGGAGTTTGGTTTTAGACTAGGGGTAGGCGCTTGGCTACCCACTAACTTGAATGAATCCTCTAGCTACATATTCAGCCCTCCCGTATTTCTAAGAGTGGCCCAGGCTTTAGGGAGAGCATGACAGGGACTTATGGACTTTCTAGAGGAAGGTAGGTGAATTCGTTCATCCCTTCATCCATTCGTCTACTCATTAAATAAATATTAAACACTTTATGTGCCAGGCGCTGTGCCTGGACCTTTCTCCCTGTGATAATCAAGATAATTTTCTTATTTAACCCACACAATAACCCTGAGATAGGTACGTTGGCTATCCCCATTTTACAGATAAGGAAATGGAAGCAATTTGTCCATATAGAGGGGATCAAGAGGCATAGCTGTTGCTGGCACTGTCAGTGCTTCTTTGTGGGAGATCTCTGCCTCCCAAGAGGGAGTTTGACTGGTGGAAAAAGAAGGCCCCCCCATATACTTCCTTGGTCATCAGTAAGGGTCGGGGTTGGTTTTGCGTTCCTAAAAAGCCACATGAAGTTCTTGGGCACTTCCAAAGAGGCAGCCTGTCAAGTAAAAGAGAAGATGTGGGGTTGTGTGGAGTACGGATGGAGTAACCTTCACCAAACGATGGGAATGTACCAGCTCATAAGGATTTGCCCGCTGAGCTTCAAGTCTACCTGAATACCTTTTCCCCTCTCTAAAGGGATGAAAACATATAAATGGAACTCTCTTGATGTTCTTAAGTGAAATAAATGATGCTATGAAACAGCAGATGTATATGAGCATTTTCTTTCCAGTGAAGAGCTCCAGACATATTGTCTTCACTTAACATGGTTGTATAAATACGTGCTGGTAGAATTTTTTTCTAAGCCAGATACCCTGAAGTATTTTAGTTGTCCATCTCCAACTTCCTTGCTCTGGACAATGTTGACCTCTGGGTTACTTCGGCTGTTTATGTTCACCTGAAATTATGTTTTTGCAGTTCCTTTTATTATAGTTTGGCTGCACTGCCTGTCCAGTGATAGACGTGATGTTCTTATTGGAACTAATATAAGTTATGGCTCTAGGACCAGCAAAATCCACTCCTGTTTTTTGCCCCACACACTTCTTCCTGCAGGAGAGAAAGGAATTGTTGTTGTAGTTTGTTTGTGTTTAACGACCAAGGCTTGTTCACATATACTTAGGTTTATAAATTTGTTCATCGTTATTACCTGCTCCTTCCTCCTTGGTTCAGTTTCCTTCGTAGAGAAAGGCATATGCATTAGTGGTTTTTTGGAAAACTGTTCTCACACTTTGCCTGAAAGTGTATTCATTTCACTTGAGTCAGAATTTTTAGATTAATATATTCCATCAGCATTTTAAAGATATTATTACCTTATCTCCTGGCTTTTCATTATGAGCACATCCATATCAGCGATCTGTGGTGTGTGTGTGTGTGTGTGTGTATAGAAATTCACCATGCCTAGGTTGTAGAAATATTGCTGTAACAGGAGTTTCAGTTTCCAGGACTCCTTTTAACAATAACTTCTCATGGAAGCTCTCCCCTAGATCGTTAGGCAAATTTCTTGCTGCTTCTCTAGGTTAGTGGATAGACCTCTTCTGATCATTCTTTGCCAGAGAAGGCAGCCTTTCCAGGGTTGAAGGGTTTCAGTTCTAGACCTCTATCGTTTGCAAGTTCATGGTCCCAGGTGTTCCCACATGGGCATTAACACCTCCTCATCCCAGCCATGGCCAACAACTCTAGCTAAGTTCCTCTTTCATTTCTGGCTCAGAATTTACTTTGCTTCTCTTCACTCAACTATGTAGTTAATACTTTTGTCTTCTGGTTTTTTTTTTTTTTTTTGGCTTGATTATATGTTTATAGTTGAAGAGGAGTTTATATGACCTCAATCCATATGTTGTGGAAACTGAAAATTCCATAATTGAGTTTGTATGAGTCTTACCTTTTCCTCATACCTATTATTCAAACTATTCCTGAAATTCCTAAATCTCTATGAAGTATTTCTAGGTTATTCAAAGGGGACATAATAAGTCACTAATATTTAGTGAGCATTATGGACCAGGCCCTAGTCTAAGCACTATACATAGTCCATGTAAAAAAATTCTACCAGAGAATTAAAAATTCTCTTAATTCATACTGTTATTATCCTGTTTTTCAGATGAAGACAGTGAGTCAATGGGAGGACAGACAACTTTTCCAGGGTCGAACAGCTACTGAGTGACGGCGGCTGGTATTCAAATCCAGGTCTGTGTGATGCCAGAGATTATGATTTAACCATGGGGCTTTGTTGCCTGCTGCCCTGTCTATGCCTTGTTAGACTGGCCATAGCTTTTCTCCCTTCTCTCAGCCAACTCACCCTTGCTCTACTCTATGCTCCTATGATCCCCTGTGGTCATTGCTCCACTCCATGATCTCCACAGAGGAGATTCCTAATGTGCTTTTGTGTTGGCTTTTTTTCTCTTTGATAAAAATGAGAAAATTAGAGATGATCTTTAACGTTCTTTCCAACTCGGACACTCTATACTGTAGTTTATCATCCATCTACTTGCTCACTTAAAATTTTTCCCACTTGTCCTTAGTATGATTGGTTTTTTTTTCTTTTCTTTATTGCTTCTTGGATTGTAAACTTATGAGGTGCTGGGATGACAGGGAAAAGCTGGGAAAGTTCTGCAGTCATGAGAGCATGATAACTAGGGCTGGGCAACACTGCAAGCCCATTGAGGAGATAAATGAAGTGGGTTGAAGTTGAAGTTCTTATTTAAGCCACATCTGCCCTTAAAGTTCTAAGCAAAGTTGGATACTCTTTATGGGTGGGGTTGAAGATGAAGATGAGAGTAGAAGAAGCTTCAAAGAGCGTATGCCTTTTTCTAAACACTTCTTCCCAATAAGTGTTTAGGCACAACAGAGAAGGCAGCTTAGAAAATCTTGGGAAACAATAGGTTTATGGGGAAATAATTTGGAAATTATTTTTTATGTATTAATAATCATGCCACCTATCAACTAGATACTAAGCTCTCTTTTTATTCAATAGCTTCCTAATTTGGGCCATCCACATGGGATGTTTTGGGGAACTAAATGAAGCGTGTGTAGCTGTCCGCTTTGTGAGATTCGGTCTAAATTAGCAGTGTGCATGGACAATAGAAAACAAGAAAACTTTCTGTGTGTAGCAGCCTGTGGTGATGAGAACATGTGGCACGTGAAATAACACAAAAATATTACTATGGCTTTGAGAGAATAAACACTACTTATTCTTTTCAACATCACGGGTATTTTCCTCTCCCATTACTAAGGAAACTTTTCTTTTCCCTGGAAAATAGACGTAATTCTTTTTTCTTTGGTTTAAGTCTATTTCTAAGACATTGGAAATAAGATCAAGATTTAGTTTCATAAAAACATAGCAGGAAGGGCTTTAAGCATTTAATAAGCACCTCAAACCTAAATACTCTTGTTATTGTAGCTCTGTTGTGAACTGAATTGTGTTCCCACCCCCTAAATTCATATGTTGAAGCTCTAACTCTCAGTGTGACTGCATTTGGAGATACGGCCTTTAAGGAGATAATTATGGATAAGATGAGGTCATAAGGATGGGGCCGTGATGCAACAGGACTGATGTCCTTTTAAGAAGAAAAAAAGACACCATGAGCCCATGCACAGGGAAAAGGCCATGTGAGGACATGGTGAGAAAGCAGCCATCTGCAAGCCAAGGAGAGAGATCTCACCAGATACCAACCCCACAGTCACCTTGATCTTGGACTTCCAGCCTCTAGAACTGATAGAAAATAAATTACTTCCATGCCATCCAGTCTGTGGTATTTTGTTATAGGACCCTAGCTGACTAATACAAGCCCCTTTCCTTTTTATCTCAAAGTATTGTATCAATTAATGTATAACATTTAACCTGAATAAGCAAAATACAATTCAAGCAAGTAAACACTGAAAAGGAACTGCTCCACCAATCAGCCTGAACTATACATACCGCAGATTTGCTTTTGTGACAGAATGTATCAACACTGTATCCAGATATGCTTAAAAGCACTTCAGTTATTCCTCTATTTTAAAAATCACATGGAAAGCCTTCTTCACCGAGCAAGTATTATTCTAAAAGGGTTAAAATGATAAATTTAAACAATTTTCAACATTTGTAGAAATTAAAATAATAAGTCACTGAGAATCGTTTAACAAATTTTAATTTTTTTTTTTTTTTTGTGGTACACGGGCCTCTCACTGTTCTGGCCTCTCCTGTTGCGGAGCACAGGCTCCGGACGCACAGGCTCAGCGGCCATGGCTCACGGGCCCAGCCGCTCCGCGGCATGATCTTCTTGGACTGGGGCACGAACCCGCGTCCCCTGCATCGGCAGGCAGACTCTCAACCACTGCACCACCAGGGAAGCCCTAAAATTTTTTTTTAATTTTATTTTATTTTTATTTATTTTTGGCTGTGTTGGGTCTTTGTTGCTGTGCGTGGGCTTTCTCTAGTTGCGGTGCGCGGGCTTCTCATTGCGGTGGCTTCTCTTGTTGCAGAGCATGGGCTCTAGGCACACGGGCTTCAGTAGTTGTGGCTTGCGGGCTCTAGAGCACAGGCTCGGTAGTTGTGGCACACGGGCTTAGTTGCTCCGCGGCATGTGGGATCTTCCCAGACCAGGGCTCGAACCCATGTCCCCTGCATTGGCAGGTGGATTCGTAACCGCTGCACCACTAGAGAAGTCCTAAAATTTTATAAAAACAGGTGGGTGTTCTTTTCTTCATGTAGAGACTGGTCCAGTGTACCAGTGAGGAAAGCTGCTTTTAAGTGCATATATTTGAATAGCAACTTTTGGAGCAAGAACCCGATTTCTAACTTGTCCTTAGTCATGGACATCAGACCTAACATATGTATAGACATTTATATTTCCCCTCCCCAAATTGGAGGCATTTAGATTCTGTCCAGTCAGTTTACCACTAAGGAACCTTTTTCACCATAGGTCAACACTTGCCTATTCTTCAGAATGTTGAACCATTCCCACTCCCCAGCCCTGCCCCAGGGAATGTGATTTGCTTTTCATTAAGTATAGCCAGGAAAATAAAAACTCTACTTTCTTTGTTCTAAGACCAGAATGGGACTTGGTGCTGGTTCTGCGTAGCTAGAACTGAGTACTTGCCGATAACTCGTTCTTAGTAAATTATCTGTGGGGTAGATGTACTTTCATGTGGGAACAACACATTTGCGTGCAAGAGGAAATGCTCTCCTTTTTGTAAAGAACAGGAAGATTCCATCTTAATCAGGAATTGTCTTCAGCTTGGGGTTGCTTTTTCCCATCAACTGTCTGCGCTGCTTAATGCCCTGTGGCGGGAGCTGCGGTCTGTCCCCGCCGTGCTCTTCCTTCTCATTTGCACTCTACCTCCTGATCCCCCTGGTTGTGCCTCGGCTTCTCCTTGAGGGCTGGCTCTCAGTAACCCTGTCATAGTTCTCTTTATTGCTTCTGAGACACCTACAAGATGCTCCTGGATCAAGAATTCACAAGACTAACTGATATAATCCTTGACTCCAGGGGCGGATGGGTTACACTTAATGGTCTCCAAGGCCTGAGCCAATTGGAAAAAAAATGACATTTCTCACCTTTTGGAGTGTTTCAGCTCTCCAGGGCACTGACCGGTCTGATGACACGGTCTGCCTCTTGCCTCTGTAATTTGTTCACAATGCAATATCACCTAATCTAGCTTGGAGGTGGCCACCCTTTCCTCAGAGAAAGGTCTTTTATTTTGCTTTGTGACACACCGCCTATGGCGGGGGGTGAGTTTGAACACACGTTGAAAATAAACACAGATAACTAGTTCTATGTAATAAGTAGAAACTAGATTTTCCATCAACATTCATGAATAAGGAGACAGATGTGTGGTATGATTTGCGAAGTGTTTTTAAAATCTGCTTAAACAAATTGCCTAAACCCCTAAACATGCCGCTCCACTTACCCCAGTGCCTGAAATTCCACTGTGAGTTATTAGCTTAGGAAACAGACTGGACTGTCAGAAGCCAGCCCAGCCTGGGGTGGGACTGTCAAGATTGACCGGAAAGTGGCTGAGCAGATGTTTTTTGTTTTCCTGGTGAGAGGGGTTGGAATAAGGTTAGTTTGGGGAGAAAGTAGGTAGGCAGGTAGGTAAGTGGTAAAGAGAAGGGAAGGCTGACAAAAGAGAAGATGAAAGGGTGTCACCAGGGCTAGATTATGATCTTTCAGAGGCTTAAGCACTGGAAATAAAAACAATATTTGACTGTAAAACACAAACATATGTATGTGAAATTAAAATGTCTATACATTTCTATAAATATTTCTATATATTTTCTATAAATTACTGTTTCTATATATCCCGATTGCAACATTCTGGATAAGTTCATCAGAGCTGGACTTATTTTCCCTGGCCCTCCCTGGCTGATGCCCTGTGCAGGACTGGGTCTGCCTGGTTGACATTCCTGAAGGGGAGTATGTCTGCTGATGTGCAGGGCCACTGGGTAGGGCTGCACAGGCTGTGCACTGCACAACAGCAGGGGGCCCCGGTCACAAAGAGCCTATGATGAGAATGGCTGCCCCTGGAGCTATTGTAGAGCTATTGTCTCTGTGCTTGAATCTCTCCCTCTGTAAAACTAGGAAAGTCATTCTACCTGCTGATAAAATTGTGTAAATAAAAGCAAATTGAATTTTTCAGAAAAGGGATTCTTATTATTTTCCTGAAAGGTAAGCTTATTTTGCCACTAATTTTAGCCTATATGGGTTACCAAGAAGAGTTAAGCAAAGCAGGGGCCTGGGGCGACCTCCCTTTGGACTTAAGTATATGTCTGTCGCGAGTGAATCCAGATTCAACAATTCTAGAATGAAACAGTTTCCATGAACTCACTCACTCACCTTCCCCACAGTCCAGGAAATTCTGCTTGTGATATTGAAAGATTGCTGGCCAGAGGTTTGCCCTCCTCGTGATTCTAAACTGGGCTATGATTCTCTGGGGCCACGGAAGCAAATCACTGGTTCTAGAATTGAAACTCTGCAAAAGCAGCATAACTCAGCTTCAAGTCACAACTCTAAGTAGAAGCTACAAGCTAAGCTAAACTACGAGTGGCACAGAAACGTTCGATAATTTTTCAGTCTCATTGAGACGGTGTTTCTTTTCAATTTGATACTTACGTGACAAAAATGCAATTCTCAAGTTAAATTATTTGTAACCACCAATGTCAGATGTTTACAATCTAATGCTTCTGCCACCTAGGTCCCAGTTAA